TGACATTAAAAACAAACATAAAACAAACAACCAAAACACTATTATTGCCATTATAATAATTATTAATAAAACTAATAATTGTTTATGTTTTATTTGTACATCTTATTCGCATTTTTAATGCCAGCGTTAGTGCGGCTGTTTTCTCTGCCAGCAGGGGTGATCTGATTGTATGACAGAGGTGTAACATAGTTATACGATGTGTCTTGATTGCCACCCATGTTAAGGAGCAGAGAAGCAGCAGTGGCATCGGAAATGGACTGTACCAAGAAGGAGAGGGGAGGTTAGGGGAATCCAGGCTGGGTTTATGTCATTAAAATCTAGTTTAGAGAATAAGAACATCGTTGCTGATGTTTAATGTGAAAACACCCGCACATCTGGCATGTAAGTCAAGGATTAGCACTTTTTCTCCCTTGGTGTCGCCTTCTGAATTTCCACTCTCCTCTCTCGGGCACCCCTCCGGTGAGAGCCGCGGCGTCTGAGCGTTGGTAGGGACTGTCATCCTGCCTGGCTGCCCGGTTTTTTGGAGAGGAGAAGTTGGCAGAGGGATGTTCCTGCGATGATGGCGCTGCAGCTTAAGAGCGGGGATGCCGCGTACTACCAGAGTGCAGAATACTGCAGAAACTACACTTCGCCGCCTGTCAGCTACGGTGACAGCAGCCATTATCTCGCACGATTGCCAGGTAAGGGGAGGCTGGTCCAGACAGGACCTGCCCTCTGACTGTCAGCAGTTCTCATGCGCATATGTGCGAGGATGGAGAAAAATCTAATCGGAGACATTTGCATATGATAGCGAGGATGTTTAAGCCGGTTGCCCTGATGCTGCTGTCATCATCTTAATGTCATACCGGCGGGTGTGAGGAGGGGGTTCACGAGCCACCATTCTGTTCAGGTTATAGAGCATGGATGCTGCGATGCAAAATCTGAGGTTGTCGGTACTCTTGTATCCTCTCGCACTACAGGAGAGCTCCGAATCGCTTCATCCACGAACACTCCAGGTTTGAAATATGCGAAACCTTAATGTAATGCTTAGTTTTCTATCTCGAGCACCGCTGTCTGTGAGAACAAGCGAAATAATCGTTGTGGTCTCCTTTACTTGAGTCGCTGCACAGCTGATGGTGACATGTGGCAATTATACGGAAAGTGTTTCTTCCCTGGACCTGCAAAGTCGCTGTAATAGCGGGCTTTGCTGGCTGGTTTTAGGGGACTCGAGGTCAGTGTCTGTCATAGATGATGAAGATTACCGCATGAGAATGATCAACCCACTTGATAATATCCGTGTCATCAAACAGTGACTTGTCATATTCAGTTAAGGTTCTCAGTCATGGTGAAAATGTCACAGTGAATTCACGTTGCAGTAATGCATGAATGTAGGTGGATCTGGGGGTGTAAAAGTACCCCATCAATGGGACAGCCACAGAAAAAAAAGAATAAGTACCATTTTCATGCATCAGCCCGCTAAGTGATGAAAAATAAGAAGAAATAAAGAAATAGACCTTTTGTGTGCCTTTCTCTGTGAATGGTTTTTCAGTTTAATAATGCTGCCACTTTTAACTTTGGTACTGTTATTATTGTCAATGTTTCTATGTTAATGACTAAATGTTTTATTAGTTACCAAAGCCAATAATAACACTTGCAGCCAGAAATATGCACATGATTCCCAGCAAGATGTTTTGAAATTATGATAGTTATCTTCTATGAGATAGAATGGACACTAATCAATATAGTAGTAGCAGCTTAATGGATTGGCCATGTGACTGTGAGTCTTTAAAGGCAAATAACACTGACATGGTAGATATTGGACCACTGGATCATTCTATTAACATAAAGTCTTCTCTAGTAGTAGTGATAGCTGAATGATATTCAAATTGTGACTGCGACTGATATATAAAAATGGACCTGAGGCTTTATTGTAATGGTACAGTGGGTAAATTGCAAAGTACAGTAAGACGTATCTGGTCTTTGCTGCATATACTCTTGCTTGTCCAGTGCCCAGTGAAGCAGATGGAATAAGTGCAGGAGGCATGCGCTTCTCATTGCTCTATAATTGATGTGACACATCACAGAACGACAAGAGAAACTCTAGAGAAAATGAACACTTGGCCTATTTAGAGATTCTCGGTGGAGGCCATCAGATTCTCCGGCTCTAAGACAGGAGATTTCTTTTGTTTTTTTGCTTCTAAAACAAGAACTTTTGAGTCGAGCTCAAAAGAAATCACAAGTGACTGATTAGTGAGTAACTTCTGATTTAGTTTTAAGTAATTTTTGAAAATTACTTTTCAGACTTTGAGAACAACATTGTTAGAAAATTGTGAGGATTACAACACTTTCACCTTGTATTTTGGCCTTTAGAGTAATGCTATATAAGCTTGGTTTTGAATGTGTCATCTAAAAAGCCTCTAATGCAAAACCACAAATGTTTTTTGACTTTGCAGCAAGGTCCACTGCTGTAGATGTTTGAATATGGTCCGCGACTCTGAGGACTGCACTATGTGGGTGCAGATCTGGGTCTAAGGAAAGAAGCAAGCTCACCTTGACCTATCTAGCTCACAGGAAAACTACAGAAAGACAAAAGAGCCAAAATAAAAGCACAGTTGGACAATGTTTGGGTTTTTGGTTTTTTTTCCTTATAACTCTGTTCATGTTTGCTAAATGAGAAGCAAAAAACAACACTTGAAATGCAGGTTGGTTTTTATGCCATCTTTGTGTGATCATCTTCCTTGCTTGAGCATCATAACTGTGCTCCATTTCCTTCAAACCAATCAATCATTGCCTACAGTCCATCTGCCTAGGATCATAATAGGACATTAAACTAAGTAGATGCTGATTTTGGCTTCACACTTTGGAACAAAAACAAGAGATCAAGCAAAAACAAAAACGAAAACAACAACAACAACAACACAGATCAAGGCAAAATATGAACAAATGGATTTAATGTTAGTGTGTGACATACACAGCAGTTGTAGATGGCTCTGTTGGTCATTATGTTCTCTGTACTTTCAGAGAAGGACGCATTAATTGAGCTGAAAATGCCAACAAGCGCAAGGAGTGTGTGGAAAAAATACAAAAATAAAGCTGTTTGATGTTTTTATTTCTCAAGTTCAAGAACAGATTGACTGTAAGTGCTTCGAAACGTGACCGTGTTTTAAGATTTTAATGATGGAGCCTGAGGAGTGAGAGGCTTCAAGTTACAAATGTACAGAGGTGTTAAAGGTCTCTCTGACTAGCAGAGGGACTGAAGTGCAGACGAAGAAAAGACTTGCAATTATGGTGATTGTGTAAAAAGACTGTTTAGACACTGCTCTGTAGCAAACAGATGGAGATTCACCAACAAGCACATAGCCCAGTTACATTAATCTAGAAGAATATGCCGCATAATGAGATCTTACACAAAACTGTCGTGCCAAAAATAGTTTCTTTGCGCTGTGTGTGTGTGTGTGTGTGTGTGTGTGGGGGGGGGGGGGGGGGGGGGGCATGTGATATCAGACCAAACCATCAGAAAACTGTTTTAAAATTTTGGGATCTTTTAATGATTGTAATGTATAATTTGCAGAGATCCACAGAGGAGACCAAAACCGTTTTTCCTCAAAAAACTGACCTCCCTGTAAAGTTCTTTTGCAAGTTAACGTGTCATTCTTGGAGGCAGTGATGGTAGAGCTGCATTATCTTCGGGCTTATCTTATATTTTTAACTGGCATACAGTAAATGCAAAGCATGTGGTTAAATGCTCAAACTACTGTGTGGTGGCACGCTGTGTTCCCTGAATTGTTTAATGACCCAAGAAAAAAGGTCAGCCGTCCTGTGGTGGGGGTTTCTGGGTTGCTGCTGTTTCACTCGGCGATCCGGGGTTCTCTCGAGGCTGCTGCCGACAAGGCCGATGCTGTCATATGCAATTGGTGCGATTAACGAACATTGCCGGGCATTGGTGTTTCATGTAGTTTAATATACTGTACTGCTCTCATCCAACGTCCCCAGTGAAAATATGATCATCTGAAGCATAAACTATCAAGAATGTTTTTGTTTTTCTATGTGAAGGGTTTTGGTACCACTTTTAATCTTTTAATTGGTAAAACATTAATTTTATTATCGTTGTAACATTAATAACAGATTTTCCTGTTGTATTTCTCCGTCTTTGCTCTCAAGGCTCCATTTGCTGTGTTGATCTTTGCAATGCACTTTAAGTATGAGTTGGATTTTTCTGGCAATGAAGCATTATTGTTCTGTTAACTGTCTATTTACTGACTCACATTTGTGTTAACCACCTCTACTCCTGTTTACTACAAATGAGTTAGTGTTGATGCTCTCAATGGATGCCTGGGAATACCTCTGCAGGGTGCTCCAAAAACAGCATCGTGAACCTTTCATGAGGTGAAAACATGTAAGGTCAATATGTTGTGACTGTATACAAAGCTTAATTACACACAGCTGCAACATGAACTTACTGTATGTTACTGTCCTCTGGCATTTTGCTTGCGAGCTTGCTCGCCTCTCCTTTGCATGGTGAAGATGGTGAGTTCAAATACAGCAAATCCTCACAATATCAGATGGAAAACTGCAAACATTTTCCTGTTTACAAAATGATTCCACATTGCAGAGGGACAGCATTACTGCAACAAGTTAAATGTCCCTGAACAGGCTGACTGCGTTTTGAATATAAAAACCTGTTACAAACTAGCTGCTATCACAGGTACAACACACTTGTGGCCAGGTGGTTGCAGCAGATGGCCGCCCCTCCCTGAGCCTGGTTCTGATGGAGGTTTCCTCCTGTTAAAAGGGAGTTTTTCCTTCCCACTGTTGCCAAAGTGCTTGCTCATAGGGGGTCATATGATTGTTGGGTTTTTCTCTGTATCTATTATTGTAGGATCTACTGTACAATATAAAGCGTCCTGAGGTGACTGTCGTTGTGATTTGGCGCTATATATATAAATTTGAATTGAATTGAATTATTAAAGTAGCAGCCAATGTGCTCATGAGCCATCTCCCTTCAAATCTTTTGGCCAATCCCAGCAACAATCCCACCGCACTTTTTCCAGAAACTGCATGGTCTAGGTTTCCATCTTAATGTGTGGGGCACAACACCCAGTTCTGCTCGCTCTTCCAGAGTCTCATCTTGCAGTTGACGACACTATAGTAAGGTCAGTGACTTGTCTAGCATACCTTTCTCCTGAGGTCAGCCAGGCCAGGTGACAGATGGGCAGCTAGACATATTGGACAGACAGACTGACAGTGAGCAGCAGTCGGAAACACAAACAGCCAGGGATGTTATTTTGGGTGCATGATTCACTTCTATCGGGCGTCCGATTGGATGATGAAAGCTTCCAGCACAGTGAATTTTGACACAGCTGTTGGCCTATTACTGACCTGACAATATAGGGAAATGCACTGACACACACACATGCAAACACACACGGATATATTATATTACTAATATTATGATACTGGAGCATCAAAAGAGAACAAACTGAAATTAGTGCCGCACCATTACTAATATCATCCCTTTTTATTATTATTTTTTCATGTAGCACTTACATAGTTGTTCCCAGCCTTCACACACACACTCACACTGTATCAGCTTATCCAAGTAGTCACACTTCGGACTGTATTTTACTGTCGCTGCCTCTGTTTGTGTGTGTGCAAACAGATGTGTATGTAATGTCCTGTTTGCATGGCCGCAGGCACTGCAACTCAGACTACTCTTTCTGGTGCCCACTGAAATGTGAAGCTCCTCTGTCCGAGAATGTGTTTCTGTTTGGTAATTTCTCTCCAGCCTTGGGGCTATAGACATATGTACTGTAGTCACTGAGTTCCCTCACAGTGTATGTTTGATGACTGGTCAGTCAACAGTATCTCCTTAAAGGACTCTTCTACATTCATTTACTTAAATAAAATGGAGATCATATTTCCAAATAAGTGGCATTTCGATGATTTTGCATATGTTTTGTCTTTTACAAAGAATTTTCTTTTTAAACAACTGGCTCAAAATCATCAGGTGTAAAAGCTTTCCACTACAGCTCCTGCAAATTAACATGTGCGACAGAAAAAAAAACCCCAAATGCTTTTCTGAAATATAAGCATTAACATAACATTCTTCAGAGTGTATTTTGATGCAGAACAAGATCACAGCCATCACAGTAGCTCTTTGAGGCTGTACTAAGGCACAGCAGCCTTTTGAGCAAAATGATACCATCAGCAGGCCAACATGCTCACAATGGGATTGTTAAAATGCTGATGTATAGCAAGTACAGTTTTCCCTGCGTTTACAGTGTTTGTTTATAGCTGCATTTGGTCATAAACTAAAGAACTGGACAAACAGAAAGCTCAATATAATAATGGTAAAAAGCCAGTAGAATCATAAACTGGTTTACAGTTCACACAAAGATGAACATGATTATCTGAACCTAGTGTCGTGGAAGGCCTTTTTGTAGTTTTTTCACACGCTTTACTCACAAGAAAATGTCATGGTGTTGTTCAAAGAAAAGAGAGCAAATTACCATTAGTCAGTCAGTGGGATACATTAGCTGATGACTGAACAGAAAGTTGTGATGATCCATTCATCCATCACAACTTGTCTAACTTGGGGCCTCGGGGCTAGAGCCAATCCCACGGAGACGGAGCACAGCGGAGACAATTTACCAGTCTATCACATATGGAGACACGAGTCATCCATTCAGTCTCAAACACAGTTCCTGCTTGAATATAGTGAAACAGACAAGTGCCTAAAAGCCAATAAGGCTATTAAACATTAATGGAAAGAAGTTGCATAAAATATAGAGTGCATGTAAGTGACTGTATTCTTTCATTAATGTCTGCCTTCGTCATCGCTGATATCCTTATCAAGGATTTGCTTATAGGAGGTGTCTTTGATTTCTAATATCTGTGTTTATGTGTGTAATGCAGGCCTGATTGTATTGCTTCTAATGTACCCAGGTCCAGAAACCATGTTGAAGCCTCCCCTGAGTCTCTTCAGTCATCCCCAGCAGCCTTTCCAACACATGGATTCTTTACATCAGTTGGGACCTCCGCCAATGGCACCTGCACACCCTCTTGGTCCACCACCCATTGCCCCCGCTCAATCTATTGGACCTCCAACTATGGCTCATGGCCAGAGTCTAGGCCCGCCTCCCATAAATGCACCTCATACATTAAGGCCTCCTCCCATTACCCCGCCACACACTTTAGGCCCCCCTCCAATGCCTCCAGGTCAGTCATTGGGGCCTCCGCCAATGGCACACACCCTGGGTCCCCCACCAGTAGATCACACACAAGCAATAGTGCCTCCAACCATGGACCTTACACAGCAGCTGGGGCCTCCACATATGAACCCTGCACAAGCACTGGTGCCTCCACCTGTAGTGGCACCAACAGCAGGTCGATTTCCCCTCCCTCCCAGCCCCTTGTCCTCACCTCCTGCTCCCGGCCCTGACCCTTCACAGATGCCCCCAAGGCCCCTAGGACCAGCCCTCATCCCAGCTACAGTGTCCAGCCTCATCTGCGGTCCACTCCCAGGCCAGGCAGCCCCAACCAGTGAGCAGCCCCAGGATGAGGGCTCCTCGCTGGGGACAGAGGAGCAGGAGGACTCTCTGGGACTAGAAGAACTGTGTAAACCGCTGTACTGTAAACTCTGCAACGTTACCCTCAACTCTGCTCAGCAGGCACAGGCTCACTACCAGGTCAGCTGAAAGCCAAATTCAGACATGCAGAATAGCACAGAAAAACATGTGAAGAATCAAATAAAATCGACATCTCGTATCTTTCTTTGAAGGGAAAGAACCACAGTAAAAAGCTACGAAATTTCTATGCTGGCAGTCAGCAGCCACCGGCCATCAGGATCCCAGAAGCCTTTGAGACTGCGGGCCAGACGGCCCTGAGCTCAGGGTCCAGCGACAGTGACGCAGGCAGGCAGGTAAGGCCCGTATTTAAGAACTAGTACACAGCCTACCTTAATGCTACAGTGTTAGCTTAGGAGGTGGGTGTGCTGTTGCTGAAGTGGCCTCTCGGATGATGGCGGTCACTTGCTCTGAGGAGGTGGTAGAGAACTGCATAGTCACTCTGTTTCATTTAAACAGCAGACACTCAAAGCATCCACTCACCACTGTACACTCAATCCCTGCTTTTTAAAAGTCTATTTATTCTAAGTAACCAGTGAATTTTTTTTTATTATGTTTGCTAATAAAATAACAATTTTTCTGACAAAAAGTAGCATAACTCATAGCTTCCATTAGGCTTTACTTTCATTTTAAAGGCAATGAGTTCTTCCTCCTGCTGAAATGGAACATTTCTTTCCTTGTTTTCACAGTGTTTACTCCAAATCTCCTCTCACCACAAACACTGTGCTGCTTTGTCCTGTCTCTGCAGGCGCTGTATAAGGGGGCGCCCAGGGTCATCTTGGCCACAGAGAATGACTATTGTAAATTGTGCGACGCTTCCTTCAGTTCACCAGCAGTTGCGCAGGCCCACTACCAGGGCAAGAACCATGCCAAGAAACTACGGCTGGCTGAAGCCCAACAGAACGCGAGTACCATGTAGGTTTGGGTGAAGACATGTTGGCTTTATTGGACAGAGATTTCATCCTTACTGTGTTTTACGCAGGCATAATGGAGTGGAGGCCCACTACAGACAATACCTTGTTCAGCATTAGCTGAAAAAGAAATATAGCAATTGCAATCAGATATACATTGCATTGCGCAAATATCTTGAGCCATCCATCGTTTCTTTACAATTTGCTAGAAAATTAGTATAATAAAACAGTATATAAGCAAAAGCAGTTTCTATTATTTTATAAAAGCATGCAGCTGAATATTTCGTATGACCACCTTTATTTTGCAACACAGTCTGAACTCTCTTTCTCTCAAACTTCAGGAATAGTTCTCTTGGCTTCTTAAAGGACATTCAAAGCTCTTCTTTGGATGTTGGCTGCCTTTTAGTCTGCTCTCTGTCAACATCATCCCACACTGTTCACTAATGTTGAGGCTCTGGGTAAACTAGTCTATGATTGATAGTCTTCCATTGTGAGTTTCTTTTCAAAGGTGTGCCTTTACTGCATTAGCAGTGTGCTTGGGATCATTGTCGTGCTGAAAAATGAAGCCGTTGCCAATCAGATGCTTTCCAGATGGTGCTGTGTGGTGGATCAAAGTCTGACCAAACTTTTCTGTGGTCATCACACTGATGGATGAAAACATCCATTTTGACAAGATCCTGCACCACTGGCTGAATTTCAGCCCCAAACCATGACAGAACCTCCACTGTGTTTTACAGATGGATGTAGACACTTGTTGTTGTACCTCTTTCCTCACCTTCGCTGTAGATATTATCAACATTTGAACCAAACATTTCACATCTGGAATCATAACTCCAACAGGCCTGTTGATAATTACTTTAAGTCCAGTTCTTGTGTAATTTGGTATACCTCCGTCTTTTCTCCCTGTTTCCCTTCTTTAAAACAACTTCAGCCACCCTTCCACTGAGATCATTTCTGATTAGGCCTAAATGGATCAACTGAAGGACCAAATGCATCTCTCAGGTTCTCTGCTAGGTGTTTGCTGGATATTTTTTCTGTTGTGGACCGGACATACTGTTCATCTGCTGTTGATAGCTCTTTTTTATGCCTGCCCATTTTTTTTAGTTCTCCACTTGTTCACTTTCCTTAGCTGTTTTCTGCTGATCGCACTTTTGAAATCACTGCGTTGGTACAAAATTACTATTTTATTATTTCAAACTGTGTTATCTTTGGCAGTTTTAATAGATTCAACTAAAGAGATAAGAACAAATTATGTGTTTTTACAACAGGCAGCTAGACCAAAGTCCCTAAAGGAACAACTTACCAAAGACAAATTTGGTAAGTTGTCTGTTATGTATGGACATAACACTGGCTTGTCCCTAGAGTTAGGTCCCTTTTTTATGCTTGAATGATTCATAGGTCAGTGTTAGGTGGCTTACAAAACAAACAAACAAAAAACATTCCTCTGGAAATGGTCAGGTACAAGAATTGGCCTGATAATGAGTGAAAAAGCAGCCTGTGTCCAAAGAAAAGCTTTGCAAGACCAAGCCTGTAGAACACAGGTATGGAACTCCATACCTTGAGGTCTCGAGGGCTGCTGTCCTGCTTGTTTTCCAACTAACCTGCCCTTTTAGCTTCTTATTGGCAAAGCACACCTGATCCAGGTATTCAGCAGCAGTAGGGCAGGGATATCTCAAAAACAAGCAGGATGCTGGCCCTAGAGAAAATAACATGAAACATCTTAGAAAGATGAGGGGTGACTCAGGGGTTTGGCAAAATACGCCATATTTCAAGCTAGCCATGTTGCCATTACATGTGATATGGAACCAACAATTGTTGACTCTAGCTTTGCCTGTTACAGGGAAAGCAGCAATGAGACAACTCCGAGAAGGAACAGGAAAGATGGCAGTGAGTACCGGCTAGTGAAAAATCGTCGCAGCCCACAAGTACCCGCTTCCATGCCAGGTAAGATAAGAAAATTAAATGCTAATTAAAAAGTGACATCAGCATAATTTAAAGATAACTATCAAAAGTCATCTGATAAACTCTTCATTTAGGTGGCATTGTTGTAGCTATCTTGGTCAGTAAAATGCAAAGAAATGCAAGAGATTTTGTCTTATTCCACATCTATTCAAAGGCTGCAAACTAGCAAAGCAAATTCTGATGTTATTTAATGAATTGACCAATAATATGTCTGGCTATTGAGGGTCATGTCTGTTATTGTGTTATCTTAAGTGGTGGTTGGAAAATACGTCACTACAAACAAGCTATATTCAGCAGTCCTAGAATAGATGTCACCTGTTCATACACAGCGGCTTGAGGACCAATCAGCAGTAAACTTGGCTGTTTCTTTAATGATCTTATATTCTTTTATTTGAGTTATTGGTTGTGTCTTCAAACAACTCTATTTGATGCACACTAGCCTTTGAAATTGGTCTTTTTATGCGGCATAAAATGTGATGTGTATGGTACCTACCCCGAGAAGCCACTGTTCAAAATGCCAATTTATCTTCTAAAAGCTGATTTTGTACTTGCAAACACCCCAACAGTCTTTCTAAAGAGATATAGCGAATGCTGTAAAATCCTTTTCTTAGGTCTAGACCTGTTCCATATACTGATAATTCATGTTACAGCAGCTGTCATGACCCGTAGTCATTTTTAGCAGCCTTTGAGGGCAGTGTCTGTTTGCTGAGTCAGTGTGGAAACTGTCAAAAAAAACTAAATGATGTCACAGATAGGAGTTATTCTCCTAAAGCTCTCTCATGTCACTGGATTTTCTACCGTTTTTGGTGCACCCACCGACTTATGTCCAGTGCATGACCCTCACATGGTCACACATGTTTTCTTTCTTTTTTAAGGCTGAATGTTCTTCTTCTATAATTATTATTTAACTGTGGTTTCTTTGTGTTTGTGTGAGTGTCTGCTTTCACCCTCGTGTACATGTGTGAAAACAGATACAGAGTAAGGTAATGTCAGACTTTCTGCTGACGTCAAGCTACCATCTCTTTCTGCACGTGTCTGTTTCCTATTCTGTCTTTCCACAGACATAAGCACCTGCACTTCAGCTCGAGATAAAACAAGATAAATCACAAGTCATACACTAAAGCAAATCCCTCTTAGTCTCCCGCTGACACGCTCTTCCACAGGCAAAAAAAAAAAAAAAAAAATCTGCTGATTCAATCAGTTTTCTTGATGGACAATCCCTAAAATAACTTCTCTCCCTCTCGTTCTGTCTTTTCTATCTCTCTCTCTATCTCTCTATTTTCTTCTCCTTTTTCTGTGTTGCTAAAACACAAGCAACACTCTGTTTCCAGTGTTCTGCCATCATGTAATCACAGACGCCTTTCAGCTTTTCTTTCTGTACACATTTGTGTACATTTGTCACACACACAGCACTCATACACACATGGGTCTGGGATGCATTTTTATCACTGAACAACAGAAAAAAACACTGCAGATGAATTCATTCAACTACAATATCAGTAGCATTTTATATGAAGTTAAAAGTCGAAGATTTAACAGATAAATTTAAGACAGTAAAATGCTGGCTGCATTTTCCTATGCCCATTTCATTTTTTCAATGTACAATTATAGCAGCATCCAGAGGTGGCAAAGCTACACATGTTCTGCACTTAAGTAGAAGTACAGATATTAATGTTAAAAATACTCCAGTAAAAGTTGAACGAACAGGATTATCTTTCACGTGTTTCGGTTTAGGCTCAAATCGGTTTGACGTTTGAAGGTCCGCAGTGTGATATAATAACTCCACCCAAATCTGTCAGCAATGAGCAATGAGCCTGTTTTGAAAATGTAAGCAGCAGAAAGTACAGATATTTGTTTAAAAAGGGCATAAAAGTCAAAAGTAGTCATATAAATAAATACTCAAGTAAAGTATGGACACCTGAAAATTCTACATAAGTACTTTGTAGCATCTACTCTTACCAGTAGTATTTTATAAAAAGATAAGAGTCATAGTCAAGAAATGCTAAGCATTTCTTGATAATGAGGGATGGGAATCCTAATAGTTTTGCTGGGTTTTATGGTTAGAAATGAGCAAAAAAAAGAAAGTGAAGGAATTGTGAGTTGTCCTATGTTCAGTCCATCCTTTAACCTGAATCAAAAATGTAAACTTTATTGTGGCGCATCTAACCAGTCACAATTATAGGTAAGTGTACTGTCAACAGAGGGAGTGATTTTACAAAGAAACAAAGAAAATATACTCTGAGAAAAGCTACAGTATTAATAAAGTTTAGCTTATTTGAAGTCTGGTGAAAGCCAACACAAATGCTTACTGTGTACTTTTTAATATCACAGCTCTGTCATTAAGAAACAGGAGGATCTGATTAAAGAAATAATCAACAGAATTCAAATGTAGGCTTAGTCTATGTGCAGGTACAAATAGGTGTCCTGTTTCAGGGTCATATGTTACTGCTTATAAAATAAAAACGCAAAATTGTTTGCATCAATGGGAAAAGTTGCATCTAAAAATGTGTTTTCATTACTGCTCGTCGGGGTAATGTAGAGATGTTAAAACATTTTAGTTCCAGGAATGATGAGGCTGTCTTACAGAGAACTGATTTGTAAGTGTGCAGTGGTTTCTTACCCAGTGAGCTCTAGTATGAAACATACTGTAACCATCACTGGAGCAGGTTAGGCTGAAAGCATAAGTTACCATGCTGGTACGTGCCAGCGAGATGTAAACCCCCTTTGTCCATGTTATTCTAGTGCTAGGATGGGTTTCTTCTGGGAGCTTTAGTATTTCATTAAAGATGTTCTAGTTGATTATCATCTCATTTTGCCACTGTATAAGGCACTAGTTGAAACCTAAAGTTGGACCCTTGGCACTGTATTGTGACTTCCCTCTGCAATAAAACATCTCTTAAAAATAACAGTTAGCAGCCATCCATCTCATCTCTGTAATCTCTCTTTCTCTCCCTCAGGGCCGTACTACAACCCCAGACCGAGGCAGCGCATCCCCCGGGACTTGGCCATGTGCGTGACTCCCAGCGGACAGTTCTACTGCTCCATGTGCAACTGCGGAGCCGAGCAGGAGACGGACTTCAGGCAGCATTTGGAGAGCAAGCAGCACAAAGCAAAAGTGTCGGAGCTAAGATACCGCCATGAGATGGAGAACCTCGGCTACAGCTAAGAGACACAAGAGGGGAAGGGAAGAGAACATGTAAAGAGTACAAGAACGCAGGGCAGGAAACTGAAAATACTGCCATACTTTTGAAGAGCATATTTAGTGGAGTGATTGCATCAAGATCTTTTTGCACTTTATTTGGTGTATGGATTAAACGCATAATCTTTCAATTTGATAGGAAATATATAAATAGAGGTGGCTGGTTGTGGCTCAGGTGGTAGATCAGATTGTCCACAAAGTGCAGGGTTGACAGTTTGATCCCTATTTCCTGATAGACAGCCCAGCTTTTCGTGTCGCATCTGCTCTGATACAGGAGGCTAAAATTGGATTCCATTAATCCTTGTATTGCTCTAGAAAGTGTGTATTTAATCAGCTCATAACATTCAGAGGAAATTGTAGATTTTTAATCTTAAAACTTTGAACAAAAAAAAAAATCTGTTTTCTAGCCACAGAATCAGACTACATTTTTAAGCCATTATCCTTTCTTATACTTTCTGCTCCAGTTCCTCCAAAGCTTTAAGTGGGTTACATTCTGACTCAGGGCACAGGTAAATGCAAAAGAAATGCAAAGAAATCTGAAAGAGGGGAAATCAGGGTTTTGCTTTTTTGGCAGAAAGTCAGGTGGACATGAGAAGAGGCTCAAGAAGCCTCAGCGAAGACAAAGATACGCAGAAAACTTGAAAAGTACAAAAATGCAGACAAGGTTGAGTGAGGGGGCAATTCCTTTATGTTACAAAAACTTGGGAAAACAACTACTAAGTTTTGGTTTGAGATGATTTTTTAAACTCTTACGAGTCATTTAGCCCTGCAGGTATTTTTTATAGGTCCTGCAGCAGGGACTGCAGGGGAAAACTTACAACCACAGAGCCACACGGGACACAAATTCAGCATCTTTACAACCAAACAGATGTAATAAAATCCAAAGCACTACTTGCTAATTTTAAAAAAAAAGCACAATGAACTTCACCTAATGAAACAGTGTTATATGAAACTGTGAGCCTTAGCTGACTTCCTACTTGTCCTGAGGTGTGTATCAGGCTGAAGGCTCTTGCAAGCCTTGCTGGTGCCTTTGGAGGAAGTTAGGCTAAAGAGTAAGCTTTGGCTAGCCATTTTGGCGATATAGTAAAAAACCAATCTGTCACATTGATTGGATTTTTCTGTATTCACAAATGTTATGTAAATATTCTTAATATTGCATTATAGATGTAAATAGACTATAGTAGACATGAATCCTATTGATTATTTGATCAGTGTTAGCTCACCATCTCTTGTAAACTCTCATAATCTATTTAACAACTATCAGGAATCTTGTAAGTGTGCACTGAGTGAATGTCTTCTTTTTTGAGCACTGTATGTTTGTGTGTGGATTTCACTGTAGGCCCTCCGTACCACTTTGGATGGCGCCTTTGTAAGTAACTCTGGTACCGTCAGTTCTGGTTAAAAAGCTGCTAGTCTCATCGTTTTTACTTTGGAAGGAAGGAGAACAGAGTGCCAGCAGAGGCTGCCCCTAAGGGCGAAACATGCTTTGATGACGAGAACAAGACAAAATTTTCCTCTTGAAAAACGCTCAAACGCGCAAACGCTTTCAAACTGAACGCACTTAACTCTAAACTTCAAATTGACTCGCAAATTGCAGCGCTCCTGGATGTTTCTGCTTGTGAGACATGTCATTTAATACTCCCAGTCTTGATTCCCAGAGGGGACGTAAGCAGGTTTTACTGCAGTGTGTGCAACGACTGCTAAACAGTAACATGGACTGTGCCGCAATGGTTTTTTTGTGTTGCTTTGGCCTGTTTGTGTTGCTTTTTCCACATACGAGGAGATCCAGCTGTGTTCCTGTGTTTAGCCCGTTCTGGGAAAAAAAACGTTATATAATTGAAGTTAAATTGGATTAACTGTTCCAGTTTAATGGTCCTGAGCCGAACACAGCAAGTTGTCACAAGGCATTCAAAGTCTATAGTCACATTTAAAATTGCTAAAAAAAATAAGTACTAATAAAATGAGTTTTTTATGCTGATCTTCGCTACAGATATCAATGATAGTGAAGGGGTCACAAAATGTACATATTCAAGCAGAAAAGCTTGTCATTCAAAGCCCTTCTTACTAATCCTTTAAAATAGAACGGTGCTTTTCCCCCATTGTAACAGAAAACGATTATCAGCATACACCTGTGTTCAAAAATCAATAATTTGTTATTGAAAAGAGAAGAAAAACCTCCCCTTTAAATCTGCTTTTGCGGAAAAAAACCATTCCTCAGTAATTAAATCAGTCTGATCAGTTCATATAATTAGATGAGCTGGAAAGCGGAATTGAAAGCAGCATCCTGGCCTTCTCTTTGCTCGGCTTTGTTTGCTGCAGGGAGAGGCAGCTGCTCACATCTTATATTTGTCTCCAGAGCACAAATACACACACTTGACCACACACTAGGATGCTCGGGAGAATAGCACTGTGAGAACAAAGCGCTGTGGCATTTTTGGGGATTAAAACGCAACAGCAAGGCAGAGCTAGAGGGACGTACAAGCAGAAGGCATTCAAATTAAAGTGCTCGCCTATTTATTAGCCCACCTTGCCGCACAGTTTAATGAAACAGGAACAAAAAGCCGTGGGTGAGCTAGTCTTGCGCGTTGAGGCAGAGTTGCAGTCTGTTAATAGCTCTCCTCCTCCTAGAAATAACACGCTTTGTCTTACATGAAAGCGCTGGGAGCATTACCTTTTATTACGCTGACAGGCTCTTGGACTCAAAATGAGAGTCACACTCCAGTGCAGCTATTGAAAACCTTCTGCAAGTGCAGGAAATGATAAGCTGGAGAAAACGAGATCACAGGAAGCTAGTGGGCTCCTACAAATACAGCCTAAAGATCCAGACAGAAATGTTCATAGTGGAGCGTTTGGACTGTGATAATTCCACCTGTTTTGTGGCTTTTTACCACTTAACATGAGGCACTGATACTTAATATTTCCTTGTTTGATAGTAAGTTTGTTGCGTAACTTCTGTATAAATGCTGCCCATTTACCATAAATTCAGATGGCAAATGGGCAGCATTATTTGTAACTCACACAACCTATTGATGACATTAAAAAAACATTAAACGCAACCTGTCTTTGTGCCACACACCAGCAAAGTATCAGCTGCCATCAAGATGCCCCAGAAATCCCTGGTCTGTGTCAAAACCAACACAAAGTGAAGTACTGGTTGTTTCTGGGGGAATCATGTGGCTCTCACAGGGATGTAGAGGTGAATTCTTTGACGGATAGGGATCGGTATCATGCCGCTATTACGCTTACACATACTGTTGTTATTCTGCATCTTATTCATTAACTTTACATTAACCCATGGTCACACAATCAAGTTAATTTCATGTGGGCTGTAGGCTACCAGCATACGTGACACACGTGGGCCAGTGGCAGGTGAACTAGTGGAAAACTGCATATTCCCGCCAACGTGTGCGAGATCTCTGTCGTTTTCCCCCCACAAAGATGACATTTGATGACCTTCCCTTCATGTTGAGTTTTGACACCTCAGTGTACATCAGGAAAGACGTGGTTGATGACCATTAGAACAGTTTGCAGGTTTTTCCAAAGGTAGCTGCACAGGCAGAGACCACCATCACTAACCTCTGATGCACACCCAGTCATTTTGTTCTATAAGCAGTCCTGAAATTTGACAGAAAGAGCTTCAGGTAGGCTTCTAAGGGATAAATAAAATGTCACAACAGTTGTGATTTGGCACTATATAAACAAACTTAAACGGAACTGAATTGAATTGAAATCTTGGAGCTAATGTTTAATTTGCTCTGGCAGAATGCGTCTGCCATCCCCCAACTTTCAAATAGATTTCCACCTGATCTTGTCTGTGCCAGTCCAATTACAGCCGGTTATCAACTACAGGGCGAGTTTGATGCACCGACTCCCCCCTCTGAACGCTGTAATCACTTTACATTTTTCCCTCAACATGACGCCACACGTTGCTCTGAGTGTTTACAGGTCTAATTGCATCCAGGAGCATTGAAACAGACTAATTTGCATAAGCGCACGTCGTAGGTGATGCCAGGCTAATTATCTAGTGTTGTAGAAAGGTTGGCGTTAGCTCCAGGTTCAAAGGGCAGCGTGCACAGGAAATAATAGGAACCAATCTGTGTCAGTGTGCACGCACCGATCGATATGTCACACGAGTCGGGCCTCAAGAGGATTTACAAGGACTTAAAGTGTTTGTAATCAACATTTGATTCGAAAACGTCTGTTTTCTTTTCAAGAGCTTAAAAAATGACAAAATTATTGCGTAGCAGGAAAATCTCAGAAGCAGAAGGGTCTTGCTGAAAATAAACGATTAAGCCTGAAAAAACGTGGCAAACACAATTTGCACTTAATGAGCTGAAACACAGCAGCCCACCAGTTAAGTGCTCCTTTTACACAAGACTATTTTTGGAAGGATATTGTAGCGCTGAAACGTTTTTATGTTGTTTTTTTGTTGTTTGCCTTTTGGGGTTTTTGCATCAGAGGATTTCTATTAATTGGACAAATGTTTCACACAGACAAAGGCCAAAAACATAAATAAATAAAAGCACTGTGGGAAATAAATGTATTTACATCAACATATGTCCATTAACCGGTACAAATGATTTAATTGGACTGTTTAGTTATTATTTAGTATGTTAATGTGCTGAAACAGTTACTATCTGGGGCACTGTATCCATTTCTATTCTATGTTTACTTGTTAGAAACTATAGAGAATGTGAGTACAATATACTTAATAATTATTGGTTTCACTTATCTATTTGCGGCACAGGTTAATAAGTTAAACTTCAGTGCTTCGCAGTAAATGACAGAGTGTGTTACGTATCGCACTGTATAAAATGTATCTGGTTTATTTTGTGCATGAGTACAGTCATACCTAATAACTGTTAAGATCTTTCTACCACAGGCTGAGACTATAAGGCTGCTGTTCAGGAGTATTTAATGAAGTTTACACAGCTGGTTGTTTGGAAATGTCTGTGTGCTGTGAGGAATCTGCAAAATGGTACTGGAAAAAAAAATCCCACGTTTGCAGTGAATATAAAAATACACTGATGTTTATTTAGAAAATGTGTTCTACCATATGTTGTTTAGTCTTTGTTGTCATTATTTGCCTCTAATGAACTCCTTATGCTAAAATCTACGAGGTGAGAAGCCGAAGCTGTTGCAAATGTGTGTGATATTTGTCATTTCTGTGTTTTATCCATGCGCTGGACTGTTGGACTGAGCAGATGAGGGTAGATGGGCAACACTGTGTGGTTAGGTAGAAACCCTTGACTCAAATTCTGCTTTTCATGCTGAATTATATGGTGGCCCCCCTATATGGAAAAGTTATATATATATTAATCTTATTAAGTTTGTATCTGTGTTTAAATGAAAAGCATACAAGAGTGAAAACAGATATAAGATCCCTAGAAAAATTGTATAAATGAAACCTGTATGTTTTGGATACTTCCTAAAACAATATATGAAAGTGGCCACTTTTATGTGTAAATCATATAAGCCTTATATGATTCACTATATGAAGTAGGCCCCATCTGATGCAAGTCTTTTATAAGTTTTTTCTATTCCTTTTCCATGTGGGCCAGAAAGGTCAAATGCCCTGCAAGTTAGGAAAACAACAGCAAATAGAAAAAAATAATACAAAAGCACACAAAACACACAAATGTTGATTAAAACACCAATAGAAAAAAACTGTAAAAATTCACAACGGAAGTGTTTTTGGGAAGACAAGAACATGACCGAAGATCTGAAGAAGTGACAGAAATCAGAAACATGTGAAAGACTGCACTGAGACCTGTTTACAAGAAGTGAAGGATTCTTATGAGGGAGAAAAAGATCCAAGTAATGTGTGTTTAATTGAATGACTCATATAACACTCAGGCTGCATGTTGGCTATTAGCTTTTATTGTTAGCTGGTCACTTCTGCAGTTGGTCCATCACGTTATTGTCTCCTCAAAACCCCTTCAAACTGCTTCCCCCTTTTTTGTTAAGGTTTTGCTGCGTTTTTTCTATTTCCATAGTGTTTTCTTTGGTTTTACTGATGCGACTGCAGAATTAAGTGAACTGGAGTGTCTAATTTTAAAGACACCATGTTAATGGGCACAGAAAAGTTTGCTCAGGTCAGGTCAGGTCAGGTGTCTGGATAGAACTAGATCCAAATGGATGGCTTACCATGATCTGAAACACTTTTTCAGTTTAGCTACACATACAGGCACACAGTCGGGATTAGTTAGCCATGCTCACCAGCGGTACTACGCCATTGATTTTCAAATGAGGGCAACAAACACATAATAAGGATTCTTCACAAAAAATGAGAGACATTTCTACTTGTTTTTACAGCTGGATTTCCAGAGACAGTAAAAGTTTTGTGAGTGTTTTTTTTTTTTTTTTTCTTAACTTTCATTCTGAGACTTTGATTCAACTCTTGTGTCTGTGCTATAGATCCAAGAGGTAATTAAATTAGCCCAACATACAAACAGCTCCCCAGGCTCTGTTCAAAGCTCCGTAACCCAACACCTCTAAAACTCACTAATTACTACACACACACGCTGCTGTGCACACAGTCTCCTTCGTGCTTTTTGTGATTTTAGACTGACTTATGTAGTGGAACTACATTTTTGCCAAACTACTTTTAATCACAGTTTTCTGCAGCTCTCTACTCTGACGGCTTCCTAACAGCTCACGCTGACAGCACTCTGAGTACACATCAGTTCCAGACTGTGGTTACAGCCCATAACTCCCAATGAAACCACACACAGTTAAGGGTCTTTCTTGACCTTTAGCTGTTGTAAGCCTTGGGGAAAACTTATTTTTAAGAAGATCTTTCACACACCCCACACACACACCTTCATTTATAGTGTGGGGTCCGCCAAACCTCCCATAATGCTCCTGTAATCTCCTTGAAAACCTCAGCATACTTTTAGTGCCTCTGAACAGTGTTGCCAATATACCACTGACTGACTAAATGGATGCCTGAACAACTTGTGTGTGTGTGTGTGTGTGTGTGTGTGTGTGTGTGTGTGTATAAATGTGGCGATCACTATAATGGATCTAAGCTAATAATTATTACAGTGAATTCATGTCTCAAGCTTTCTCTTCCACGACCCAGCTCCTACCGCTCCAGGGGAAATAAATGTTCTGTTAGTTGATGCTGTTATTGACTCACAGGGAGAAGACGCTCCTCCATAGCCTAGTTTCCACTGCACTGATAACCAGGCCTTACTCACTATCCTTGATATTACTTCTGCCAGGAAAGCTGTTTCTGCGCCCCTGGTATTGTTTATCTGTCAGCGGGATATCACAAAAAAAGTATGAACAGATTGCCGGAAATGTGGTGCACAGGCCGTCAGCACAAGTCGTTAGCTTTCATCAAGGATGGGATGGCTCTTTGATCTGTTCGTTCTTTTGTTTTTTTGTTTTTTTTTTGTTATAATGATTTATAAAATGGCGTTTTAAAAAAAAGTTTTACTCTGCATTAAAACAGCGATATTTACAATTCATTATGGTAAATGCAAGGCTATGCAGTGCTACTTCACATCATTGCATCAGTGGTCCTAGAAGACTCAAGAGGGATTTGCTTCAAACTGACAGCTCAGCACACGTCTGACAGTCAGCTCAGTGAGACATCAATATGAATCTGACTGAAACAACAACCATCACTCAGGGCTGTTATTGGTCTTTGGTTCTGATGTGTGCGTGCAGTACTGTGCAAAAGTCTTTAGCAACCCCTCTCTTTAATGTTTTGCTTCCAAGGAGCCAGCCTTTCATGTCAGTTTTAAAGTGGTCTCGAGCAACAGTTCTCCAGGCTTTTTTTCAAAGCTATCCTTTGGACAACTTTGAAACTACTACTACTGAAAAACCGACTAATCACAGCATGGTGTGCAGTGTGTTCTCAAAGAAATTGAGGAAACTGGGCTAATGGAGGACAAAAGAAGATGCAGGAAGCCTAAAAACTGTCTACAGCAGATGATCATTACCTGAAAGTCATGTCCACAACATAAAATAAATCCAGCAAAGACCTGAGAGATATATCTTTTTACCTTTTCTGCACGAATAACAGTAGAAGGTCTGTAATTATAAAGGAAGTAACACAAATCTGGTGCGACTAAAGGTAGGTATCTGCAGAATTACTGGAACTGAATGCGGGCGGGACTAATGAAGTTTACAAAAGACACAGAGCAGTCATTGTTGGTATGAATTCATGATGCTTTATATTATATTTTTATGTAATAATAAAACTATAAATAAATAAATAATATACAAAATCCCCAATGCAAGGGGTTAAAGTTGTCACAGTGACAATTTCTTCTTTGTTTGCAAATGCATAAAGTCAACTGGCAGCTTCTTCCTTGATCTCATATTGTCCCAGAGTTGTAATACCTTGTCAGTTATAACATCTGCTAATTGTTCTATGTGAAGAAGATTAAAAAATGAAATGAGCCGTTGCCTCACAGCAAGAAGGGGTTAGACTCCACCATCTCACCGGGGCCTTTTTGTATGGAGTTTGCATGTTCTCCTGTGCTTGTGTGGGTTCTCCCTGGGTACTCAGGCTTCATGCAGACATGCAGTTAGTCTGTCTCTTTGTGTTATCTGGTGACCTGTCCAGGGTGTCATTTTGAGGTCTGTGTTGCCTCCATTGTCCTCACCTGGTTTATTTTTTTACCTGTTCAGTTCCAGGAAAGAAGATTTCTGTATTATTTACTCACCATGCAGTCCTTCTCCTCATTTTATTTGAGATTGTTTTGTTAAATGACTGCTCTCCATAGTTCAGTAGAAACATATAACTTGTCTTTTATAGTCCTTGACATGATTATTTTCTGAGTGCCTCTTCATTTGCTGTTTTTCTCTCAGAAGAACCACCAAGAGGCTTGTCAAGTACAAGTGCAGCAGGAGTTCCAGGCCAGGGCTCCTGCTGCAACAGTTTGCCTTAGAAAAGCAAAGTGTTGTTTAGACATTTATGAGGAAGTGATGACCTCCCCCTGGGGTGGAAGCGGGATTTTCCTGGAAGAGACACAGAAAGTCAAACATGCTGGCCTGATATACGAGACATCTGTAGATTTCCAGTTGTATGCAGCAGTGGTCTTTGTTCCAGTGTTGTGACAGAACAGTGCAAGAATGGAGGGGGACGTTTCAAAACAGGAAGTTGGTGAGTGTGAAGAAGCCAAATGTTCAGGATCTACCTGTAGCCTGCTGCTGCAAGGGAAATGAGACATGCAGTTCAAGGGTTATAAGCTTTTCTCTTCTTCGCCACTATCTGCTACACAGACTGACCTCTGTAGAAACGAAGTATACAGGACCGCTATGAGCCTTTTAACCTGCTTACAGACTACTGTTCTCGACCTGTTTGTTCCTAAGGCACCATTAGAGATTAAACCAGATCATCATGGCACGCCGTAATGATTGTAAACACATATTAACCAATCTGTATTAGTGTAGCCTTGATATTACACCAAATTGGAGGTGTCAGACACAATATTCTAATGGTCTGGTATGAACCGGATGATTTAATAATAAAAGAAAATGTGTGCATGAGTCTTGAGACCCACATGTGCCAAAATGAATTAAACAAATACATGAATCAAAAAGTAAGTAAAGAAAGTAGCGTCTTTAATTTATTAAAATTTGAAATAAATAATTATCTTTTAAATGAAATGAATTGACATTTAATTGTGTATTCATATATATTTTTCATTTATCATTTTAATGAATGAATTACACATTTATTTAATTATTTAATGAATCTTAACTTAATCTTTTGGAGTAAAAAAGGCTTTTTCCAGACTGCTGGAACTGTGGCTATAGGTAGTAATCACAACCACACGCTTTATACATTACTTGAAAAACAAAAACAGTGGGTTTACTGACAGTGAAGACAACAATGAGCTACAATTATAACTAGGGAGAACATGTTTTACAGGCACATAGTGAGGACCTTATGCTGTGATTTTACATATGCAACAGTGATAAAACATGAGGTTAAGTCAAAAAAGAGTAGACGAAGATTAATAATTAATATGTACACTGTAGATCTCAGAGAATCTAAGAAACAGCTGCAAGAACGTCTCATATAGAAATATGTGTATAAGATATTCTACATTACAGGTTTGCTATTGTATAGTTTTACAGAGGATATTTTCCTGAAGTGTTTTTATAGCATCCAGGTTAAATAAATCAGTTCATCATTTGTTAAATTCATGTATCAATTTATTGAAAATAACAAACAAACAGACTGTTTTACATATTAGCTTTTCTAAAGTTACCAAAAGGAACTTGTCATGTTACTGCTTTGTCATTCTTGTTGTTTAGCGCCCTCTGCTGACCATGATACAGTATGACATGTCTGGGTCAAAACACTTCACAGGATGTAAATTTCTGTTTTTTGTTTCAATCAGATCTCATTTCTCTTTTAATCTTTTTAAATAAAACAGATTTTAATGTGACAAAATGATGGGCTGCTGGTGAAAGTAGCGGAAGCACTGGGAGGCTATTTTCGGTGGTTCTCACAGACATATTCTTGTAAGTGTGTTTTTCCATTTTTTGTTGTCAGTCTGAGAGCGCAGCACCAACTGAAGTCCTGTCCACACTGAGTGCATAACATGTGGTCACATCCTCCATTCTTCTGCAACATGAAACACAACACGTGAGCAGGCAAAGTCACATGACTTCAAAACAGCCAGAAACTCTCCGTGCGCACATGACTAAATACCTCGATTCTGCTGAAGCAGTGAGGACAGCATCTGCTGTTGTTGGCCAACCAGGTGTCATTCAGATTACTTTCCAGCATTACCAGCATGTTACCATATCTGCTCACCAGCAGGCGTTTCCTCTCCTTACTGCCATGTTTATAGTCATTCAAGAGAGCACTCAACCCCTCTGAGAGACACAGATAGCACAGAGCACAAAACAACATTTGCATCAACACACAAAAGGCCTTCAGTGTAGGGTTAAAGATTAATCAAACAAAGTGCTACTATTAGAATCGGATCAAATAAATATATTTTTTTCAGTCGCATTCGTGACTTGTAAGTGCTGTAAAGTAATCTTACACCTCTACAGAGGCTGCTGCACTTGGATTGATGCTGTTGAGTCCTGCACTGACACGAGACACAATACTGGGACATCTCTATGTTGATTCTTGTACTTCCTGCTTTGAAATGACTGACTTTATGATTTTCTTTGAAACAGGACAACATTCACACCACTCGTCCTGTGACTGAATATTTTAACATTAATAACCAGTACACCAAAAAATTATCAGTTTAAAAAACATACTTGGATTTTTAGTAAACATAAGAGATATCCACATAGTCATTGAAATAGTGTGCCTTTGTGTACCTTGTGACTGTGGCAAGTCTAGGCTTTTTAAAGCGGTGTGCAATGCATCTCTTGCATGTTTTTTCTTGGTTTCACACTCTTCTAATCCATGGTAGGTCATTCTGCACGTGACGCAGAAGGCAAAGCTGCACTCAGAGCAAAGCACTGCATTGCTGGACTTCTCCAAAATAACAGCAGAGCCACAGGATGTTCGAGGACAGTACGTCACATCTGC